CACCACCACCACCACCACCACCACCACCACCATCACCACCACCACCACCACCACCACCACCACCAGCTGTAGCAGCAGCAGCAGCAGCAGTTATGAGATGGTCAAACAAAGATTCCAAATTTGTGTCTGAGGTGTGTATTCATTTTGATAGTGACTTAGTGTGCTCTGAGTACTCCTATATATTTTAGCCACAATTTTCAAAATCTTGTTTCTTTTCTAAAAAACACCAAATGTATTCATGTGTCATCACAGGACCAGTGTAATCATTTAACTGGCATTTCTATACACTTTCCCTACTTGGAAGTGTAGGTGAACTTTTCTCTCTCAGTCATAGGACTTGAACTCTGGGCTGGGGCACAGTCCCTCAGCTCTTCAGCTCAAGGAGAACGCTCTACCACTGAGCCACAGCACCACTTCCACACTTCCAATGTTTTCCTCTTCTTTTTATTTAAAGCATTGTTATGTCTGCAGGAAATGGAAGAATTCGTCCAGAGCTCAGGAGAAGATGGTGTGGTGGTGTTTTCACTGGGGTCAATGGTGAAAAACCTCACAGATGAAAAGGCTAATCTCATTGCTTCAGCTCTCGCCCAGATTCCACAGAAGGTCAGTGATCTTCTGAACCTGGAATCAGAGCAAATTTTTACTGATTGGAATAAGACTACAGCTAATGGTAGTCTTTGCAAGTATTATGTCAACATTCATTATATACTAGATATATGTGACATGGAATTTATTTATTTATTTATTTTGTTGGGCGTGGGGCTTGAACTCTGGGCCTGGGCACTGTCCCTCAGCTCTTCAGCTCAAGGCTGGAGCTCTACTACTTGAGCCACAGTGCCACTTCCAGTTTTCTGAATGGTTTATTGGAGATAAGAATTTCATGGAGTTTCCTGCCTGGCCTGGCTTTGAACTGTGATCCTCAGATCTCAGCCTCCTGAGTTAGCTAGGATTACAGGCATAAGTTACTGGTGCCTGGCTTGTGTGACATTGAATTTAAGAAGGAAAAATGTAACATAAATTGTGTATTGTGCACATTTGATCATTTGCTTGCTAAACCACAGCAAAACTGCAGGAATGTGCTTTAGTAGTGATTTCTATTTCCTAGATTAAATAAGAAAATTATAGGCCATCTGAAGTATTTCAGGTCCATAGTCCAAATCTGAGGAATGATACAGTGTAAGAGAAGACATGTTCAAAAATATAGCCATATTTCTGAAATTTATTATCAAAGTGTATTTGGTATAGAATAAAGGTATAATCATTAAATGTTCTAGGACTTAATATTCCTTCAATGTGAATTGATTCTCCAAATTTTGACATTGTCTTCTACAGGTTCTATGGAGATACAAGGGAAAGATACCAACATCTTTAGGATCCAATACTCGGCTCTTTGATTGGATACCCCAGAATGATCTTTTGGGTAAGACTGGGGGAAAAGAATAGTTTTCCAGTTGGTCAGAAGACATGTTAAGTGACCATTTCAAAACAAATTGAAAAATATTTAAGTAGTTCACATTTGAATTCCAGTTTTAAAGTAAGCACAATCATATATTAGGCCATTAGTTTTATGGTTCCCCTGAGTCACAAAAGAGCATCTTCTGTTAAAAGTCTCATCATACATGTTACCTTCTCAGAAAATGAAAGATATGGATCCCTACTATTTCTTGGATTTCATTTTTCTGGTTTAGCAATGTCTCAGGTATTCAACTGTTGAAGAAAACAGTGTTGTGCAATGACTGACATTGTAGCTTTCATTCCATCTATCTTTGAAACTCTGAACTTGAAATCTGAACCCACTTCTCATTTCTCACTCTATCTCCTCAAACCAGGGCACCCCAAAACCAAAGCCTTCATCACTCACGGTGGAACTAATGGGATCTATGAAGCCATTTATCACGGGATCCCAATGGTAGGAGTCCCCATGTTTGCTGACCAACCTGACAACATCGCTCACATGAAGGCCAAAGGAGCAGCTGTGGAGGTGAACATGAACACCATGACCAGTGCAGACTTGCTCAGGGCCCTGAGGACAGTCATCAATGATCCTTCGTAAGTCCTGCTGCTTTTCCAGGGCTCACCTGTCACTCCCTAACTTGTCCATCATACTAGAAAATTCCCAATGTTTCAATACTTGTGTAACTGGTTTATCTACAATTAAAAAAAACTATTATAAAAACGATTTCATTTTCCAACTTCTCAACTGATTCCTTGAAATCAAAAATAATATAAAATTGTTTATAGTTTTCCTGGATAAATTCCTATTTCATAAGTAATACATTCTTAAATGTTATCATACATTGAGCATATACAAAATGAAAGTGATACCATACCCAATATTAACCATTAGAAGAGAAATATTAATGGTGAGGCTTGTAAGTGCTTTTATGTAATAGTTATTGGTGAATTTACTAGATAATAATTTCAAAATATTATAGAAATCACATTTGTATATCTGGGTAGAAGGCTTTGGAGCTTCAATAATTCTTTTGAATTTTTTCTTCTATTTTTATTGGCTTAGATAATATATAAAATAGATAGTATAAAATATATACTTAAGACAGTATGCTTATTAAATGTTATATTGGCTTGTATTATTTTATGGGTGAATTTCATGAATTTTATTACTGATTGCAAACACATTTGACACAAGACAGAAACATAAAATCTATTTAAAATCTTCATGTAAAATTATTTAATTTACTGTAACTTCACATTAATTCTAACCCTAAATACTAACTCAGATTATTTGACTACCTGTGTGTTTTTAAATATATATATATATATATACATCGATAGATATAAATATAGATATATAGTTGTGTTCCACTGTTATTTACTAAAAACACTAAGAAACACAAAAATGTTAATTTTAATATGTAAATCACAGTAATTATAATTAGTCAGTATTTTAGCACATTTACAAACAAGTAGTACACCAACATGAAATGATACATATATAAATATGGCTCTTATTTATCATACTTCATGAAAAACACACATACTCTATTTTTAGTTTTAAATTAGCAGATTTATCAGTTATATCTAGATTTCAAATTTAAAGTCTCTATAGCTGTAGGAAATCTTGAAGAAAAAAATTGATTAGCAACAAAAGGCATTTAGGATTAATAGATTTGCCTAATAGAGTTTGTGTGAAATCCCTGTACTGAACTTCCCTATAGCTCAATACAAGTGAAAGATAGAATGGCTTCATTTCACTACGCTCAAAGAATGGATGGGAATCATTCCTTCAGCTGAACCAAATGATCCAAAGGCAATATTGACCTCATTCCCTTTCCCCAATCCTCATGTGCATGGCGATCCTGTTTGTACCAAGACATGTTGTCACAAACCATTTATATTCACTCATGTCCTAGAGCCTTTACTCGGGATACAACACACACACAGATTTAGTAATATAAACTAACATAAGAAATCTATACACTGTGGCATAGAAAATTATTAAAACTGAACTCGACACCACATTCTATTTTGGTGCCAACTTGGTTACAAGGATCTAATTCTAGGTCAATATTTTGTATTTATCTTAACAAACCAAAGCCCTATAAATAGTTGGATATGCTAAATCTTAAATCATTCTAGTCTTTCCTTTCTATTCTGAAATTGCCTATAGTGGCAGATGTATCATTGTGTTCAAATGAGTATCCCTGTGCAAAGTTCTGAGAACTGTTCACTGATGGTGAAAAACAGATCCCTGTATCTGTCATATGAGCTAGTTATATATCTGTAACTGTGAATATTGGTGTTTCATATGACATTATCCCATAATACTGAGTTATTCATGCTTCGTGTTTTGGAGCATTCTTGGGTAACATAGTTTATCAAATATTCAAATTCTTTCATAGGAAATTGGTCTAACATTCACACTTGAACATTCTATTTTTTGAACCACATCTCCTCCCTCTTTACCACTTAAAATCAATGGCAAAGTTTATGAAGACATTAAAACTCTTTTCTGAACATATCCATAGCCATTGGCTTGTGTCATACATACAATGTCTCGTGTATTTACCTCCAATAAAAATAAAAATTAACTTAGGACCACTTGCCTTCTAGTTATAAAGAGAATGCAATGAGGTTATCAAGAATTCATCATGATCAGCCAGTGAAGCCTCTGGATCGAGCTGTCTTCTGGATCGAGTTTGTCATGCGCCACAAAGGAGCCAAGCACCTTCGGGTTGCAGCCCACGATCTCACCTGGTTCCAGTACCACTCCCTGGATGTGATTGGGTTTCTGCTGGCCTGTGCCTCCGCTGCTATATTGTTGGTTGCAAAATGTTGCTTCTTCTCTTTTCGAAAAATTTGTAAGACAGGCAAGAAGAAAAAAAGAGAATAGAACAAGAAAATGAAAGAGAAGATCTGAGGTTTGGCAAGTTCTGAGTAGGGAAATCTTACTCACTGCAACCACAAGGAACTTACCAATATGCAGTTTTTATCCTGTTTCTAACTATTGCATTACTTTCTCTTAGCTGAGATATAAACTCTAAAATTTAATGTGACCATTAACTAGTCAGTGTGTCCTATTTCTTCTTTTGCCATTTTAAGGGGCCTAACCAATTTCCCTTATTATACACTACAGGCACACTATTAATTCTAAATAAGTCTGTTAAAAAACATTTTTTAAATTAACCTAGATTACATTTTGACTAATGCTATGCTGATTCCTAGGAGTACACAAAGTATAAACAGAACTTGATGGATGTAGGGAATTTACAAGCTCGAATAGATCATACAAATCAAGAAATACTATAGGAGACCAAAGAGTTTTGAGAAGATTAATGATTTCCTTTGTTAATAAAAATAAACATTTCTGCTTCTGTGATGTTACAAGTATTAGAAGATGAAAGTGTCAGTGATTTGTGTTACAGTAGGCATTGTTTCATTGTGCACATTGAATCATGATCTAATTTGTATACTGTCTGCAACAGAACTTGAGTGCCCTCTCACGGAATATTGAGGCACTAACTCCAAGAAAGAAATCAATCATAATTCCAGAGAAACAGTATGTTAAGAAGCACAGATTATTTTTAGAAAGAATAAACATCAAATATGTAGAAAAATAAATTAGTAATTTTATGAAAAGTTTAATTTACAGAACTTTTGTTTGATTCATTATACTTAATATATTTAAATTACATATTTAATATTGAAAATGAATAATATTGAAAATCTATAATTCTAAAATAAAGAACAAATTACTTAAAATTTGAGTCCTTTGTGTTGTTTTTCTGTCTCTATTCTATAAACTTAAATATATCAGTTAATTTTTATGCTTATGATTGTTAGGTTTTTAAAAAGAGAGGTAGCTGAGTAAGAACTGCAGCAGCACGCACGTGGTATTCAGGTAAGGGGTAGGTTTATTCAGTAGACCTGCTGGGACCAGGCAAGGTTGGCACTCCACGTGGCTGGGAAAGGCCTGGGAATGAGAGAGAGCTGGGAAGAGAGGAAAGAGAGAGAAAAGAGCTAGAAAAGAGCAGAGAGAGGGGTA